TTAAATATTTAACTTGCTAGCTAAATATTTAAGTTAAATATTTAACTGGCTAGCTAAATATTTAAATTACAACCTAAATATTTAGGTAGCTAACTAATATTTAAATTAAATATTTAGGTGGCTAGCTAAATATTTAACTTGCAACCTAAATATTTAGATAGATAGCTAAATATTGAAGTTGCAACCTAAATATTTAGGTAGCTAGCTAAATATTTAAGTTGCAATGTAAATATTTAGGTAGCATCCTAAGTTTCAAGCTAAATTTTTAGCTCAAAACTAAATATTTAAGTCACAAGTTAAATATTTAGCTTGTTAACCAAATATTTAATTTGTAAGTTAAATATTTAGTTTAAAAACTAGGACATTTATAAATGCATGAATCATTTGGTGAATAACTTATGGTGAAAAACTGACTTTGAAAAATAAATCTGTTCTTTCTTTTCCCATAAAATGCTAAATAAATCAAAAATATTGGTGGTAATTTTTGACTATGTAACTTTACAAACGGCACCTCATACACACCTGCCTCCCTTTTTGTGGTTATTCTGAGCAGCCATTCCTCTGATTTTCACATTCAAACCTGAATAATTAATGCGTTCTTACAGGTTTCTGTAGTGTTAGCACCAATATTTTTCTTTACCCATGGCATCATGTCATCTGCTATCCTCTGACCCACCAAACCTAAGAGCTTAAATTATAGGAATATATTTATATAAAAAGCAGCACTCTGAGCGAGGAGGTGTGAAAAACAGGCTTTTATTTTTATTGTTTTGTTTCAGATATTTTTTTTTTTTTTGCAAAATGATATAATGGCAAACATTACACTGTCAACATGAAAGACCCTGCAAATATTGACAAACCATGCTGGCAGGAAAGCTCAAGCCCTGATAAAATCTGCAGCTGAAATAGACAAAATGTGTGGAAAATATGTCTGATAAATGAACATTTTTTTGCTATCATGTGTGGTCCAACCTGCTGGAAATACAAACTGGCAACAGTAACGTCCATTAGGAAATGTGTCGTGTTTTTAAGGGAGCATGAAAGGTTGCTGCAGATCTTCCCTTTATTGCCATGACGCTTTAACTATCAGCCACTTCGTTAATTGCCTTGTTACCACACTTTACAACGACCTTAACTTCACCCCCAAAACTTCAGACCATGCTGTAGCTGTGACAGCACATTCACACAATTGCTTTGATTTGAAATGTTAATGTTGCTTTCTCATCCTTGGCTGCAGCAGGTGCTTTTTAAAAAAAAAAACACTGGATCATCAGTGATTTTGGAATGACTTTAGGCACAAACTTTCATTTTAAACCAGTAAAACAGTGGGATTTGTCATTATGAGAGGGAATTCAACCTCATATTCTGCAATCATTATGTTTTAWCCTATTACGCTAACATTATCACCTCAGTCAATTATGTTCCCTTTAATATTAAGTATATTTCTTTTAATAAAAAATATATTGACATTAACGTCTCATTACTGACAGACAAACCACAATAAAACACATCAGCTTCTATCCCCCGTTATGGATGAGTCTCTTGATCAGCGGTATTTAAAACCATCAGCCCACGCATAGCACTCGTGCACCCACTTTATCACACACACACACACACACACACAGATACACACATGCACACAGATCTGCGTGGGGGCAGAAGCACACAGGCTGAAGTCATGAGTGAAAGCAGTGGGCAGGCTACTACTGAGAGATGTACAAGCCTCACGAATCTGGTAACATGACAAAGGATGGCAGAGTGGGATTTGTCAAGCTTCATCTTTTTTTTTACTAAAGAAAAAAAGGCGAGTAGTTGTTTCGATCTTTACTAAAACAGGAATTATTAATGATTAACAGGAATGATTAACTGTGTTCATATTTGATCAGAAAGTTTAAAAAAATTGTAACTACAAACTCTAAAATGCGGGGACGCAGTCATTGTAAATAAAGCACTGATACAGCCAAAAATCACATGTAGTCACATGATGTGGGTAAACAAATATGGTGGAATCAGACAAGCATCTTATACAGTCCAACTTATTTCCAGTCACAAAAATAATTGAGTGGATTTTGTTTTTTTTTTTTACTTCTTGATATTCTTTTTGACTAGTTCTCATGACATTTCGCTGAGTAATTTTAATTAGCCTTTTCTACCAAGGGGAAAAAAATATATATATATTATAAACCATTTGTTAGGTGCATTATCTTCAACTGATTTCACATAAATCCCATCAGCACACAGTTGCTCAAAATGACAAACTTCACCGACGACTCCTGAACAAAAGTGAGATTCATCCACAGAGGACAGATTGTACAAATGTTTTAGGAAATCCACATAAAAATCTGACCACATTCTTAGAATAATTATCAATTTAAAAAAAAACTGGCTCCAGTCATTTCTCAGTTTCTTTTCTGAAACCGTTTCTCRTAGCTCAGTCATCTGCTGACAGTGGTTTCCTAAACACAGGCTGCTTTCATGATGGTGTCTCTCTACTACTTGCTCCTGCCCTGAAGCTTTCATTGTAATAGTTTCTCTAATTTATTTTCAGTAGCCTCTATGGATTTTTCTGCTTCTCATTTAATTGCAGTTCATTCTATCCTATCAATAAAAAAACAACACAGAGGATACACAATAGGAGGTTTTCATATTGGAACTTTGCAATCTGTTGTTCCCTTCATGGTTTTGCAGTCTTTCAGACCGTACAGATATAATTGCCATTATCAGCTCTCCTTCATTAAGGTTTAGGCTCTGTCTTCTCTCATGCCTTCTCTCATGCTGTGTGGTGGAGCAACGAGTGTGTGTGTGTG